TGTTTGCAACCCGCAGCTGCGCATGCGCAGGTTGCGATCCGGTGCTTCTGCGCATGCGCAAAGTGTGATCTAGCACTTCTGTGCATGTGCGACCTCCGAAACCTGGAAGTAACCCCTTCTGGTACTTCCGGATTTTGGCGGTCCGGTGAGGCTGGGGCAACCCAATCAGATGGGTGGCATATCAATAATAAATTATTATTGTTATTGTTATTAAGGTTGGTGGGGGTGAGTTCTATAGTTTAACTATGCATCGGATGTCCACATGTCCTAGTGTTACAAGAGGGGGAGAAATACTTTTCTCTGTCCACTGTCTCAATGCCATGCATAACTAATAATAATAATAATAATAATAATAATAATAATAATAATATTTATTATTTGTCTACATTTCCCCAGTCACTCTGGGCGGCTTACAGAATACAGTGGTACCTTGGTTCTCAAACTTAATCTGTTCCTGCACTCAAGCAGAAGTCGCGTTGGACATTTGGCTTCCGGAAAACGTTCACAAACCCTGGGTTTACTTCTGGGTTTGCAGTGTCAGGGAGCCAATTTGCTTGGGAGCCAAGCCATTCAAGTACCAAGATACCATTGTATATGAAACATAACTTTACGAACTTCTACCAGGTTCCTTCTCCCTCGCCTTTCCTCTAAAGTAAGAAGCCCAAACTCTGCAACTTTTCCTCAAAGTTACCTAGAATCATAGGACTGTCAAGCGGGTCATCTAGTCCAACCCCTGCTAAGCAGGAACCTTTTTGCCCAACATGGGGCTCAAACCCACAACCACCGAGATTAGGATTCTTCTGCTCTACCAACAGCTATCCTAGGAGTCGCTCTGTCTGCTTGATCTTTCTGTGAGTCCTTTCCTGAGCCCTTTCCAATCTCCCCTTTGAGGAGAGGCACCCAGAACCCCACCCGGGATTCCAGAGATTTGCGTAACGCCATTGCGATGTTGGCAGCCTTGTTTTCGGTTCCTTTTCCAGGCATCCCTAGCGTGGAGTTTGCCTCCGCAGGGCCCTCAAGGCCCGAGGCAGAGCTGGTCTGGGGGCCACGTGCGGTCAGTGGCTCCCAGGCCCTCCCTGATGCGCAGGGGCTCCCTGGGCTCTTTGCCCTCTCCGCCCGGCGAGCGTCGCTCTTGCCTGGGTCGAGTGGGGACTGGCAAAGGCACATCTGGAGTCTAGACTTGGTGGCTCGGTGGGCCGGGTTTGGCTGCTGGGTTCTGCCCGTTCCCCGCTGCACACTGTTTGCTTAGCTGGAGGTCTTTAATTGGAATTAAAGTGGCCTCTCTTGTTTTTGCGGACACGAGCGCTGGAAAAAGTAGCTGCGAGTCATCGAAAACATCTGCAGGAGACAGCGGAGGGTCATTAGATGGCAGGGCGCGAGGCGCCAGCCTTGCTGCTTGCAGCCGCCGTGGGGGGATAATGGCTCAATACGGCTTTTGTGGACGGGCAGCGGAGCCAGAAAACACGGCCTGTTGATTCTGGCATCGGGCATCGCTGCCGGGATAGTCCCAAGCGAGAGCCCGGCGCTGCCCTGCCAGGGGGAGGGAAGCAGCAACAGCGATGCAGAATTGCAGCTGGGGGCCTGGCTCCCCTCTCCCCCCACAAATGTGGGGGGCAGACCCTTGCAATGCTTGGATTCTTGGGGGGATAGGCAGGGGGAGACCTCACACCACCCACAGATCCCGAGGGCAGCGAAACCACGCCAAGCCCTTCGGAAAACAGTATCCAAGAAAGGCGCCCACAGCGGGAAGGGGGCGGGGACCTCTCTGCCCCCCTGCATAATTCGAGCCCCATCGCCCAAGGCTGGAGGCTTTGACAACCTGGTGCCCTCCTGATGTTGCTGTCGTTCAGTCGTTTAGTTGTGTCCGACTCTTCGTGACCCCCTGGACTAGACCACGCCAGGCGCTTCTGTCTTCCACTGTCTCCCACAGCTTGGTCAAACTCATGCTGGTAGCTTTGAGAACACTGTCCAACCATCTTGTCCTCTGTCGTCCCCTTCTCCTTGTGCCCTCCGTCTTTCCCAACATCACAGTCTTTTCCAGGGAGTCTTCTCTTCTCATGAGGTGGCCAAAGTCTTGGAGCCTCAGCTTCAGGATCTGTCCTTCCAGTGAGCACTCAGGGCTGATTTCCTTCAGAATGGATAGGTTTGATCTTCTTGCAGTCCATGGGATTCTCAAGAGTCTCCTCCAGCACCAGAATTCAAAAGCATCAATTCTTCAGCGATCAGCCTTCTTTATAGTCCAGTTCTCACTTCCATACATCACTACTGGGAAAACCATGGCTTTAACTATACAGACCTTTGTTGGCAAGGTGATGTGTCGGCTTTTAAAGATGCTGTCTAGGTTTGTCATTGCTTTTCTCCCAAGAAGCAGGCGTCTTTTAATTTTGTGACTGCTGTCACCATCTGCAGTGATCATGGAGCCCAAGAAAGTAAAATCTCTCACTGCCTCCATTTCTTCCCCTTCTCTTCGCCCTCCTGATACTCTGGACTATATCAGAGCCCCCAGTGCAAAACAGCTTGAACACACCTGGTTGGCAAGAAGCTGCCTCCTTGGCAAACCTTGCTGCTGAAAATTGCTCAAGTCAAGCATGGGCATAGCCAGGATTTATTTTGGGGGTGGCAGGCTTTATGTTGGGGGCTGGGCAGGACAGAGTTATCTGTGGCGCAATTGGTTTATTTATTTACTTGATTTAGGGGAAGGGCAGCTGCCCCCCTGGCTATGCCCATGATGAAAAGGTCTCTGGGCAGATTCTCCTCCCCGCACCTGGCACCTCACCAAGTGTCTTAGAATCATAATAAATTTGTAGAGTTGGAAGGGACCCCAAGAATCATCCAGTCCAGGGGTAGGCAACCTAAGGCCCGTGGGCCAGATGCGGCCCAAACTCCTTCTCAAACCGGCCTGCGGACGGTCTGGGAATCAGTGTGTTTTTACATGAGCAGAATATGTCCTTTTATTTAAAATGCATCTCTGGGTTATTTGCGGGGCTTGCCTGGTGTTTTTACATGAGATCCAGCGCCGAGGGCCTTCTGGCGGTTCCCTCATTGCGAGGTTCCAGGGAACCAGACAGAGGGCCTTCTCGGTGGTGTCGCCCGTCCTGTGGAACGCCCTCCCTTCAGATGTGAAGGAAATAAGCAGCTATCTTACCTTTAAAAGACATGTGAAGGCAGCCCTGTTTAGGGAAGTTTTTAATATTTAATGCTGTATTAACACTCGATTGGGAGCCACCCAGAGTGGCTGGGGAAACTCAGCCAGATGGGCAGGGTATAAATAATAAATCATTATTATTATTATTATCATCATCATCATCATCATCATCATCATCATCATCATCATTATGAGTTGAATGTGTCCTTTTATTTAACATGCATCTCTGGGTTATTTGTGGGGCATAGGAATTCGTTCCTCCCCCCCCCCCAAAAAAATAGTCTGGCCCACCACATGGTCCGAGGGACGGTGGACCGGCCCATGGCTGAAAAAGGTTGCTGACCCCTGATCTAGTCCAACCCCCTGCAATGCAGGAATATTCAGCTGTCCCATATGGAGACTGAACCCACAACCTTGAAGCACACTCCAGCCAATTGAGCTATCCAGGATCCAGTTATGTTTGTGATTGCGGCTGGGTTTATGCCGTGAAATTCATCTTTGGGTCCGGGTCTGCTGCGTCAGAGAACAGCACTCTTGCCACGTGTCTATTGATACCCGCCAGCCTAATCTCTGAGCGGGGAGGGACTCCAGGAACTTAGCTGTGTTCGGTTTCCTTGGAATGAAGGTCAGCAGAGACTGCGGTGTCTTTAAGGCATACGGGTTTTTTGCACAAATATAAAAGCTGGGCACAAGATGGAGGGGCTCACAGCACTGACACCCCGACAAATCTTGCTTCGTTGTTAGTCGCAGCTTTGGATCCAGTGCAGAGCAAGCAGGTCTCTGTGATTCCAGCTTCCAGCTCAGCGGACACCCCAAAACTCTGGCTATTGCTCTCCTACCTAGCAGCGAGTTGAGGGGGCTGGAGGAAAAACAGGATTCTGAAACGTGCAGAGAGTGTCTCGAAGGACCGGAGGCCTCCCCAGATTCAGAAGGAAGCCATCAAATTCATGGGGGAAATTGGGATGCAGGGATATTAGGATCGCTCTGCACTTTCCTGCTTTTTAATACTGTAGGAATTAAATAGTAGTGCCCTTTGCCTCATCGGTTGCATTGGTCTGTATACTACTGCAATTTTGCTGTTATTGTTTTACCATCTTCGCCTGTACTCCACCTCGAGACAGATAGTAATAGGAAGTAAAGAAATACTTTTATAAATAGAATAAATAAATTAATTAATAGCAGCCATGCATAGCCCAACTTGTGGAGGACAAGTGATGTGTGTGTTTTTTTTTAAAAAGGAATGTTTGTTATAGAAACCCAATAAAAGCATTTACTGTATAAGAAGAGAGAAGATGAAGGCTAACTGCTGTTAAGTCACTTTGAGAGTCATCCAAAGTGGTGTCTTCCACTGGATCTTGTGGGAGTGAGTTCCACAGTTTAACAATTCCACAGAAATACTTCATTTTGTCTGCTCTGAATGTTCAACTTCTCCAGATGTCCCTAGGTTCTGGGATTTTGAGAGGGAGAACAACACACCTCCACCCACGTCCACAGCACCATTTCATATGCCTCTGACATACCCCCCTAACTGATTTTCGAGCTAGAAGCCCCAAATTCTGTAACCTCCCCTCCTGGAAAAGTTCGAGATGACCTCCCAGTCACACCAGAAATAAACAGATTTTTGCCGTTTGGGGTGATGGCCCAGAATTGCAGGAAGTTCGAGGGTGGGTCCAATTCCCCTAATGCAGAGTAAATTTTGCAACAAGAACCCTTTCCCACTTCCTGACCATTTGACCGTCATTGCAAGGATCAGCCGGAAGCAGCATCCCGCGAACCTATTTTTAGAGGCACTTCCAGGGCTGTCAACTCCCGAAAGGGCTCTGCGCTGGGTTAACTCCCTGACTTTTTTTGCACAGTTGTTTTCGTCGTTTGGTGGCAGAGGGAAGGCAGGTCTGCTTGGCCACAGGGCACAGCTGGGGTCAGCAGGGCGGACGCGTTAAATCTTGGCCCTGCTCGGCCGGAGACCATCAAAAGATCGCCAGGCTTGGAGGACGGCTGCCCCCCCTTGCGAAAACGGCAGGGGACGGTCCCTTGGAAACAGCCCAGCAACAGAAGGCGCCATTGATCTGAACAGGCCGCAGTCTTGTCCAGAGGGCAGAGCGGTTCAATAGGGGGCCAGAAGCAGCCCACCTGCATCAGGATAAACAGAAGGGTCAGTGTGGAAAGAATGAGGGGAAGGAGCTGAAGGAATCCTGCTGAGGCACAATGGGTGGGTGGGGGCTGGAGAGAGGCTGCAGATGTTTTGGCTTTGGAAAGCAGATCCCCCCCTTCCAGCTGCAGATCTGAAGCTGCCTGGGCTGCACTGTGACGGGCAGGGGGTGGAAGAACCATTAACTACAAACCCCCAAATTTTGTTTGATGCACCAATTGGTCAGTTGGTAGGGCGCTGCAAAACAAGGGTTTTTCCCCACTGCTGAACAGCAGCAAAACTTTGGCGCAGGTTTGGAGGGGAATCACAAATTTTGGGGTTCGTAATATTCCTTCCCATTTCCGAAGCATCCCCATTTCCAACTCTCCACGTTCAACAGCCACACGCTGCTTTTGCGATGTGCGCAGGATCAGAGCCCGCTCCCTTGCAAAGGCTTTGCAAGGCTAAATCAAAATTAAAAACCAATCGCAAGGTTTTTCTGCCGTATTGCTGCACTGGCATCATGGTGCGCATGAATGTTCTGGCAGATGCTCTTAAAAGGATCAACAATGCTGAGAAGCGTGGAAAACATCAAGTTCTCAAAAGACCGTGCTCCAAAGTTATCGTCCGGTTCTTAATTGTGATGATGAAGCATGGTTACATAGGTGAATTTGAGATCATTGATGATCACAGAGCTGGGAAGATTGTTGTTAATCTCACAGGCAGGCTCAACAAGTGTGGTGTGATCAGCCCCAGATTTGATGTCCAACTGAAGGATTTGGAAAAGTGGCAGAACAACCTGCTACCTTCACGTCAGTTTGGGTGCATTGTGCTGACAACTTCAGCTGGCGTCATGGACTACAAGGAAGCTAGGCGAAAACACGCAGGGGGAAAAATCCTGGGATTCTTTTTCTAAACTTGTAAAAACAGGCAAACTAATAAATTGTTCTAGGACTTGCTGATCAGAAGGTTGGCGGTTCGAATCCCCACGATGGGGTGAGCTCCCGTTGCTCGGTCCCTGCTCCTGCCAACCTAGCAGTTTGAAAGCATGTCAAAGTGCAATTAGATAAATAGGTACCGCTCCGGCGGGAAGGTAAACAGCGTTTCCGTGCGCTGCTCTGGTTCACCAGAAGCAGCTTAGTCATGCTGGCCACATGACCCGGAATAGTAAAGCGAGATGAGCACCGCAACCCCAGAGTCGGCCACGACTGGACCTAATGGTCCGGGGTCCCTTTACCTTAATAAATTGTTCAAATAGGAAAAAACCAAAACCAATCACAAACACCCCCAAAATAATGGGGGCAGCAAATATCATCATCATCATCATCTTTAAGCCAACCCAATTTCACAGGGCACACCCCGACTTTCGAATTCTGCACAATTGCTTAGCATACGGGTTCCCAAACTTTTTCAGGCCCCCCGCTCCCTCGGGTCCACAAACTCATCCCCAGTGCCCCCAACCCATTAAAAAGCATTATTCAGAATAGCAGGTTGCATGACCTACCAAGGAAGATAACAGCACAATAAAATTCGAAACGGTAACAATTAGCTGCACGATTTTTCCGAATCCAGCTAAAGCTATTTAGTTGAATTAATTGGGTAAACTCGGGGAACTTGATCCAGTGAGAACAGTGTTTCAAAGACTGGCAAGTCATTTACAACTCCAGTGCCCCCCCCTTGCTTCTTAG